AAAGAGAGAAATCTTGATATATCAAGAAGATTCTACACTGCAGCCTTATATTTGGACATCCTTCCAGTCCCTTTTTTTCTTTTCCTCGCAAGGATAAAACTCCCTGCCTCATTTAACTTTTTTCACTACAAAACCAGACTGGTCCAACTGCTCACTGGCAGCCCCTAAACTTCTACTTTCACCAAGTACTCTGTTCACTGGCACCATCTGTGGGCGACATAACACCCCCACATTTCCCTTGAGTAGAAGTAGCAGGAAATATTAGATAGAAGGATAGAGGGGAGAGAAAAAGATAGACAATACAGGATAGCCTGGAGAGGGCCTGGATCCTAATCCATCAGGCCCTGACTGTCTCTGCCCTAGGGTTTTTAAAGGAATGCCAAGGGGTAGAGCAAAAGACCTCCCCGCAGCACAGCCCAGTGCAGACCGTCTCAGACACCTGGTACTCAGGCCTGTGGTCCAATCACCCTCTTTATGAGAGCCTGCTGGGTAAAGCCTAAATGGGCTCCAACACCACCTATGAGATTTTTTTTGCTTGAAGTGTGTGAATCCCCTTCTAGTCTAGACCTTCGAGGTAGGAAGACATTAATTGGGGCCATGCCTTCTGCTGGAAGCCTATGTAAGTACATGGAAAAAAAGAAGCTTTTGCTCTTTGCTTTTGGCTGGCCAGCACATCTATTCCTTCACTGGCATTAGAGCCTACTTCTTCAGGATTCTAACATATACTGAAGACCAGGTGAGACATTCAGCCTTGTAGACTGAGCAACTGTGGGATTCTTGAACTTTCTATTCACGGCTAGCCATTGTTGGATTAGTTAGACTGCAGCCTGTAAGTCATTCCAATAACTCCTCTGTAGCGAGAGTTTTCCTGCCTTGCCCACAGTCAGGACAAATCTCTGTCACCTGCCAGTCCCACAGCTGCTCAGACCCAACCAAGTAAACACAGAGACTTATATTGCTTACAAACTGTATGGCCGTGGCAGGCTTCTTGCTAACTGTTCTTAAAGCTTAAATTAATCCATTTCCATAAATCTATACCTTGCCACGTGGCTTGTGGCTTACCGGCATCTTCACATGCTGCTTGTCATGGTGGCAGCTGGCAGTGACTCCTTCTGTCTTCCTGTTCTCTTTTCTCCTCTCTGTCAGTCCCGCCTATACTTCCTGCCTAGCCACTGGCCAATCAGTGTTTTATTTACTGACCAATCAGAGCAATTTGACAAACAGACCATCCCACAGCACTCCTCACCTCTTTTCTACACACACACACACACACACACACACACACACACAGAATCTCTCATATATAATGGGTGTGCTGGGTGTGTGTGTGTGAGGGAGCAGAGCAAAACAGGAACTGGGGGCTAGGTATAACCTTACAAGGTACCCCACTGACCTTCCTCTAGCTGGGCTCCACCCCCTCAAGTTTCCACCACCTCTCAAATAGCATCACCATCTGGGGACAAAGAAAACACAAGCATCTCTCAGGGATGTTTCATATCCAAACCCTAACATGGCTACATGACCTCCTACAGATTCCCCTCTCCCAGTCTCTTCAAGTCTGCAGTCCTGTGTTTACCAACTTCTTCAGCACACTGCCTCCCTCTCGTCACATTTACTGCGTGTGGATGATAGACAGGCACACCGAAACTGTGAGGAAATAGACTCTGGAGCAGTGTCCAGAAAGCAAGTGGCCACCGCAGTGGAGTATGGGGGAGTAAGCAGCACACACCCTCAAGTCCTCCAAAGGAAGGGTAAGAGGGGGATGCTTTCTTAAACACCCTCACTTCTATGGGCGTGTTGGAGAAGGAAGACGGCCTGGCAGAATTTAATGCCAGCTCCATAATTTAAAAGCCAGAAAGAAGACTTGAGGGGGAAATTATTCAAGTTATTTTCAGGACTGTAAATGAAATAAATGCAGCACCATGTCCATTTTCTCCTGGCGTTTTCTTGGTATTTTGGTCTTTAAGTGCCTTGTATGGTCTAGACATGAATTCTGTCAGGTAGATAGCTGTGAAAGTTGTTCCCTGTTCTGTGGGCTGTCTCTTCAGTTGATTATCAATGTCCGTTGCAATATAGGAGATTTTTAATTTCAGGAAGTTCCACTTATTGATTGCTTACTTCCTGGATGGCTAGAGTCCCATTCACAAACTCCTTACCCGAGCCTGTATCTTGAAGTACATTCTCTACTCTTCTAGAAGGTTGGGTCTAATATTGAGATCTCTGATCCATTATTTTGCCAATTGAGCAGAGTATCAAACTCCCCTCTAGATTTGTATCTTTCTACTTACAGATTAGCGCAGCTCCCAGACCTCATCAGAGACATTTCTCAGTGCAGTGGATGGTGTTCAAAGCAGGAACTCACTGGTGAAATGCAGAGGCCAAGTGCCAATGGCGTGCTCAGCCACAACTGGACCATCTTACACCCCTTCTCCAAAACTCAGGGACCAATGCAGAAGAGCCAGGGGTCAGGGAGGATTAGGGGAACCTAGTCCTGTTCTGGACAACAGCCTGGACAGGATCAGTTAACATCTTAGCGTGTCGTGGGAAGGGGATCATGAGCCACCAGCCCTAACTGGGGAGCTAAGGACAGTTGCTGGCTTCTAGGGGAAAGCAAGTTTTCTTTAAGGATGCAGCTCCTAGTAGTTGAGCACATTCCAATGGATAGCCCCACACCCATGATACATGGGCAGCACAAATTAGAATCCATGGGTTATATAAAACAAAGTCATGCACTAGGAGAGGGGGCAAAAGTTGGGGCGGGTCTATGAGGAGTTATGGATAAATATGAAATTCTGAAAAAAAAAATACTATTTTTAAAATGAAGTTAAATAAAACAGCCACCCTTACCTCCCATCCCTGATCTCTTAGAGCCAACTTGAGGCCTATCACTATTGCTTCCCTATCTGTACCCTTAACTCAGGCCTCTCATCTGAGACAAATTTCAGCCATTACTTGGCCACCTGCTCTAGTTCCAGCTCAAGCTTCGTGCCCTTGACTTCCGCAGCTAGGAATTCGGGTGTGAACAAGTCTTTTGATGCCTTTCCGTAGCATCACCAACTTAAGTTTTCTCTTTTGAAGTCCTCTGTGTCACTCAGGCTGGACTCAGTCTCCCAGGGCCGTCCCTAGTACTGCCACAGACCACTGAGTCCTCTTGCTTTCCACCTGGAAATCCAAAGATCCTGATACAATCATCAATGTTGCCTCCACCCAGGCATTACCCTACAGGCTTGTTTCCTAAGGCTAGTTCTCTTTAAAATCTAAGCAAGAGTGTGGCCATCAAATCTCAAAGGTTAATTCCAGGACTTAGAAGAGCAGTAGCTGGGTTGAGATACAGCTCAATGGTGAGGCATCGGCCAGCATATGGGAAGCTCTGGGTTCAAACCCTAGCAGCACCGGGGGTGGGGTGGGGGGTAGGGTGGGGGGTGGGGTGGGGAACATCCTGAAGTAGAAAGCAAGTTTTAAATCAGCCATACAGCTGAAGAAACGCACAGTTCACTACTGAGCATAATTCTCTAGGCCATGGCAACTTCAAAAGCAGATCAAACGTAAGTCTCTTGCTCATGTTGGTTATTTTACTAATACCCTGAGCACTTTTGGTGCTTTTGGTCTCAAAACATTACTATTTTTAGGGAAGTGAGATTTTAGAATATGTTTTAAACAAACATTGATTAGAGACCAGATTCTAATTATTTATGCACGTGCACCTCTATGAGATAAACATGTGCCTCTGTAGTTCCTATGTTTTTGGTCCTAGCCTTTATGTGGCCCACGGGGTAGCTCAAAGTTTCCCTCCGCAACCAAAGATAAAGCAAGCAGTGAAAAGTTCCAGTTTACAAAAACCTTGACAGCTCAGTTTTGTGAGGACACCAAGGTTGAGGGGTTTTTGGTGATGCTGGGACTGTGGCTTCCACAAGCTAAGTCTCTGCAGTGGTTATTTTTGCATTTTGCTTTTAACTTTGGGCACATGGCGTGAAATTGTTACTGTATTTTTTGAAGCTCTAAACATGAAGGAAGAGAAGTTGGTAGGAGTCTGTGATGGCAGCATTTGGAAACTGAGGAAGGAAAATTACTAGTTTATCACCAGCCTGGGATACATAAAAGACCCAGAAAGAAAATAAAAAGAGAGAAATGGCTTCGGGTTAAATGAAATAGATTTGGGCGGTAACAATACCATTATAACACATAATGGTTTCAATCTCAACTTGTGGTTGGATTTCAAGCTTAAATAATACAGCTGAAGTCACTTTGGCCTTAATTTGTTAGGCTAGCCATAAAGATCATGAATATATATCTCCCTAGAATTGTTGATAAAAGATTGAAAACAACATATTTAAGGAGTATGATGGCATATGTCCGTAATCCCTGTCTTTGGCTGGCAGAGAAAGAAGGCCTGTCCATGAGTCAAAGGTCAGCTTAAACAACAGTGTGTTCCAGGCCAGCCAGAGGTACACGGTAAAATTTTCTCATAAAAACAAAACTTAGGTTGGGGATTTAGCTCAGTGGTAGAGTGCTTGCCTAGCAAGCACAAGGCCCTGGGTTTGATCCTCAGCTCCAAACAAAAAGAGAAAAAAACAAAACAAAAATTTAACCGGGCGGTGGTGGTGCACGCCTTTAATCCCAGCACTCAGGAGGCAGTGGTAGGCGGATCTCTGTGAGTTCGAGGCCAGTCTGGTCTACAAAGTGAGTTCCAGGAAAAGGCGCAAAGCTACACAGAGAAACCCTGTCTCGAAAAAAAAAACAAAACAAACAAACAAACAAACAAACAAAAAACTTAACTGAGCACAGTGGCTTATCCCTGTCTTCCTGGTGGAATGTGGGAGGCTGAGGCAAAGAAAATTGAACTCTAAGAACAGCCTGGTCCACACACTGAGTTGTAGGCCAGTCTGGGAGGCAAAAAAGACCGTCTCAGAGACCAGAAACAAGGATGGGAAAGCACTTACTCTGCACCAGGAGCTCCCATCACTACCCAGGTAAAGGAAATAATTAGTAAAGAGTCAGGCTACTTCACAGCAAGATTTATTAATACATCCAAAAGAAAGAAAGAAAAATCATTTTGTCACACTATATACAGATAATACATACAGTGTTTTATACACATATTACATCAGTTTTTACACAAGAAAAATATACATAAAAATGTAAACTTTTGTATACAAAAACCCTTAAACAAATTAAACAAGGACCAGATAACAAAAGGAGACCAATCCATTATTATTTCATCAAATTTTTAAAACAGTAATACAGTACATTCATTGAGATATATATATGGAAAATGGGAACCATCTCTCCCTGTTTAAAGGGAAATCACAAACCAAAAGCCCCTCATCTCCCCAAATGTGCCCCCGCTACCCCAGCCAAACCACAGCCAGTGCCACGGGCAGGCCTTTCCAAACCCTCTCTATGCTCTGCTCCCAGGGTGCGTGCCTGGAACTAGGTGGCGGCCGTGGCACCGCCGTGAGGAGACGCTTGGTTTGTAAGTCCCCTTTAAGCAGCAGCCCTCCGGTCTACGCTCTGAATGGATGGTGTGTGTTGCAGACTGTGTGCCAAGGTGATCGAGAACGCTGAAGAGGAGGAGCTCTCGGTGTGGCTAGTCCTTGCTACCGTGCAGTTACTTTTGTTGAAAGACATTTTCAGACTGTCCAGCCCGCCTGTCCCTGGCTGGTCTCCAACGGCTACCTCACCTCTGATTTCCCACTGCAACCTGGTTTCAATTTACACGTGGGCACTCTGGTGAGTACCACACAAATCTGCCAAGGGGCTTTTTGTTAAAGGCTGGTTCTGATATCGGTTCCAGTGAGCTACTCTGTGAACTCTGTTTCCCAGGAGAACCTTTACTTCACTCCCCACCGAAGAGGGCATTTAGGATAATCTATCCATCTACCTTTCTCTCGCTCTAAATTCTTGAGGTGTAACCTGCTGCCAGCTCATCACAAATGACAAGAGTACTTAACGGTTTTGTCTTAATGTTCTTGCATTCAGTACGGAAAACTGATAGACTAGTGAAAAAATACCTTGCGGGGAAGGGCAGTAAGAATTAAACATACGCCAAGTACATGCAACTTAAGAGTTAAGAAAGAGCGCTTTCCAAAAAAATTAAGTAAGGTCTTTAAATAAATCAAACTATGCCAAATAAACTATGCTTAAGACAGCATCGTGAGAACCGTCTTCTTTCCAAGGTGAATTTGGAACAAGGCAGAAGAACTAGATGACCCATTTCCTTGCAGCAAGAGAGGGGTCAGCTTCCCCCAGGCGGCACGATCGAAGCGATCATTATTCATTAATGAGAGGAGGAGGCAGATTGGTGGATTAAGTTGATCAAGGAGATGGTGGATGACAGACACAAATGGCCATGGTAGGACTGCGTTGAAGCCGAAGTAGACAAGCTGGGTTGTGGCATATCACTGTTTTGGGGTGGGGTGGGGTGGGCACAGAGTGCCCCAAGTGACTCTCGTCTCTCACGTGCAGATGGTATTTTTAAAATGACAGTCTCCCTTTCAGTGACGCAAACACAACAATCAAATGAACAGGAAGGTAAATAAATAGTGTGTGGCTGTCTTTAGATGAGACCTTTAAATGTTCTTTAAATAATTTCTGATAAATGTATTTTAAATCATTACATACAACTGCCACCGCAGTGACAATATTCCAGTAGGGCAGCATTTTGCTAAATGTAAAAGGTTGCCATTTAGAACTCAAACATATACATGTGTATGTACAGTTTTATCGACACTATTTATATACATATATTATCTAGAGAGCAATATTCCATTGCCTTTGAATATCTCTATGTCCACTCCCACAATACGTCCTGGAGACATACTGTGTGAGTACATACCAGAGTGTATGCACACATGCGCCCACATGTATATATATATACACTTTTATCTGTGTGTGCATAAGAGCTTTAAAGGCACGATATATAAGGGTGGAAGTTTTCTAGAGAGCTGGGGCAGAGTTAAAACCGAATGTCACAACCGTAAGGGAAGTCAAAGGAAATCTAGCAGAATTCATGACCTAAGAACTCATTAGAGCATTTCACCATGAGAAACGTGAGTCAGTTACAGGATTCAAGAGGCTTTCATGTGACTTTGTGTACGCTGTTAAAATTCAAAGGGTAAACTTACATTTAAAACACAAAGCAAATCAAACTACTTAAATGATAAGAAGTGTGGAAGTACACCTAACACTAGTATCAATCATAAAGTCATAATTATGGGTTTGTTTTTTTTTCACTTTAAGTAAAATCCTCCCAAGTTCCCTAGGTAAAAAATTCAAAATTAATTGTTTGAATGTTGGCTTTTTATTTTTTGATGGCGACCCAAATGTCAAAGAAAATATTACTGAAAGCTGTGTACTGTGGGGACTGTCACTGACAAAGGAATGTGAAAACAACAGCTGAGATCTTTATGCCAAGGCTTCTAGTCAGAGAGCTAAGTCGGGAAGAAGGGGGGAGGGGACGATGTGGCTCAGCACGTGCCCTGCACAGGCCACCCTCAAGAGTCCATCTCCTGCACTGGACAATAGACAACTTGGCAAAGATGTGTGAGTGTGAAGTAATGAGTAACTAGCTAGCAGTCTGAGGAACAGTGCAATTGGTGAGAAGAAGAGACTCATTTGTGACCAATGTAATCTGTGATTTGTGACTGGAATCCAAAGGATTTGTAGTTCAGTATGCCTGATGATGTTGCCACTTCTGCGGGCTTGCAGAATAATCCAGAATTTCCCACAGATGCATAATCTTGCTTAGCAAAGGCTGTAAATCTATTACACACACACATTTTTAGGGAAATATATGTATATAGCTTTATCTATACACACACACATATACATACGTGTATATATAGATTTATACAAATGTATAAATAAACATAATACTTTTCAATCTTTCCATTGACAAGGCAAGTTCACATTCAGCAAAGTGCCACCACATCCCATATACACATCTCTGTACAGATATACACAAAGGGTCTGTTTTCACCCTTCAATAAGGGGAATTGGTTCTAGCAAATTCCGTTAACCAGCAACCGAAGGGAGAAATGGCATCAGTACAAACCCCCTCCTTTCATATGCATGCATATGTACAAGAAATATGCAGATTTCTTAAAATCCAAAAGCAAGAGTGAGTGAAACAGGGAGATGCTACAAAAATACAATCGTAAAAAACAACACAGACAGCGTTCCCGGGTTCTGACGGAACCTAAGATGAAGTAACCGAAGCCTCAAAGACAACTGCCAATTCACACGTGTCCTCAGGAGCTGCTCTGACATACCCCTAAGCATATGAGTGGAAGGAAGTGTGATGGGAGCCCGTGGCTCTAGGTGACATCTCAGATCATCTGTCCTCCAGGACAGGACGCACAGCCAAGTGACAAAGCTCAAAGGTCAGGAATGTGTCTTTCTTTTCAGTCCCCCGGGAGTCGGGTAAGCATCCAGGGCAGCATGGTCTCCCTACAGCTGGCAGCGGGGAGCTGTGGTCCTCCGCTCCGTCACCAACGGCACACCTCAGCTTTAAAACATGGTTTGGAAATAACTAAAATCACACCAGCTTTGGAATATGCACAGTAAAATGAGCCCACCAACTCCTTAAACAAGCGGCCCCTTCAGAAGCTTCCTTATCACGGCCTATATTTTCTGAACTTGACCAAGAAAACATCATAATACTTTATTACTTGGAATATAAAGAACATTTATTAGACATAAAAATGTTTCAACAAATCTGTGGTCCCATCACCTCAATAAATAAACAAGCTGTTATCTAGGTCTGTCTCTCTCTTATTTTTATGCTCATAAGTATGAGGCTGGTCTTAGAATCTGCCCTTTCTCATGTCACTTTAAAAACACCATAAATTAATTCAAAGGTTAAAAGAAAATGCACATGATATCAGAGCTAGCCTTTGAACACAATATAGCGAAGAATATGGTATGTTTATAAAAAGAAACAATGGGAAAGAAACTGTAATTCCCTCAGCTAAATAAATCACATTTCTATAATACATTCGGTTACCTTTCTATTTTTATACAAGCGCACATTCATATCTCACACACGTGCCCCCAATGTATATTTTTGCATGTGTGTAAAAACACAGGTACATACATGCATACAAGTAATTTACCTCTATTTTTAAGTCACAGTGGGAATTCCTTAGTGAGGAGGGGAAAATGTTCCTGAATGAGACACTGAGAACATCTAGATTTATTAATTCCTCTATTTTACTTCTCAACTTACAGAATAAACTGTAAATTAAAGAATAAATCCATAGGAAATAACAGAGGTCTTAAAAACTTGGTTTACAAATTCCAGCTACAGCAGTGGGAGTTTCACTGGATCTATTTGCTTCTATTTACCCTGTAACTAAGTGTCTAGCCATCATTAAGTGTAAACCACAGATCATGTATTAAAGAACATGATTCTCAACAGCTCTATGAATGATGATAAATGGTCTAAGGGTGTTCTACATTTTGAGGCCCCAGGTTATCCTTTTCTTTATATATCTGCAAGGTAGCAAAGGATAGCTATACACCTTGACACGGCAGAGATCCAGTGTAAAAAGGTGCGTCACTAGTTTGTTTTGTCAAAAATAAAAATAAAAATAAAAAGAAGAAGCTCATATATAATTTTTAAGCTATTAAAACACATAGGCAACATAATTCATTACACTCAATACAGCTTTAGTATAAAACTTATAATTTATGAGGTGATGTTAATAGCATAAATTAATATACCTTTTCTCTTAAAATCTACAATAAGTATTCTGAAAGCTCATTGGGGAAGGAAGTTTTTAAATAAAAGTTTTAAAGCTGTGCATGATGGGAAAGGACTCTGTGTGCTGAGCTGAGATGAGAGGCTGAAGTGGAAAGGAAGAAGTCCTCGCGAGACACCACGGGCTGTGAGCCCAGACGCTTTCTCTCTCTCTCGAGCTCTCATCAGTGATGAATCACCTTTAGTTTCTTTGAAAACTATTTTCTTATTTTAAAAACGGCCCTAATTTCCGCAAGGAATCCCTGAGACATACTCAACACTATACAGTGAGACGAGTTATCACTGTTGAGAACCGATTCAACCCTTTGGAACAGAGGCACACGCTGTCAGCAGGTGTCAAGCTCTCTACTGTGTCAGCACTAACCTGCTGGGGTCGCCTGTACCTTAAGGATACAGGCTGGAGTCACTGGGGGCAAACCGGTCTATTCCCCAAGGCAAAGCAGCGGCATGGCCTGGAACTGTACTGGTGCCTTTCGCCCTGCGTGTTGAAACGTTTTCCATGGGGAACTTGGGGTGCATATAGAGCTTAGGTCAGTGGTCCCCAGCTTGAAAAGCAAACAAACAAACAAACACATAAGAACAACAATAAAAACCAATGAGAAAAGATCCTATCACTCTTGGGCCAAGATGAGTGCGGCTCAAGTGTGTGCGTGTGCACACTGCAGCGCTGGGGAGGAGCGTGCAAAACAGGCAGAGGGAGGAAGGGAAGAAAGCATGCCGTCCCACGGGCCTCCAAGATCCAACAGCTTCCGTCTTAGAAGACTGCTCTTCACACCAACTTTAGATCAGCCAAAGATCATCTGGGATCTGCTCTTCAAGCCACTCAAAACATTACTGATGCTCTGGAATACGGGTAAAGAAAGTCCCGACACGTCTCTCTGGAACGCCACATCTCTTTTTACCTGCTCCCTATCGCAGTGCAGAGGGGAAAGCTGACCAAGGGAAAGTGAGAACCCCCACGGCTCCCTAAGCCCCCAACGCCTGCAGCGGTGATGACCCTGGCCGCTAGAAGAGCCGTGACTCACGTCCAGAAGTCCCTGTCTTAACTCGCCGGCCAGCAAGGGGACTGCTTACCAGATCTCCATCTGTGCTCTTCACAGAAATCGTATTATACACATTGGGAAAGACAGCATTTAAAATACTACTTTAATTAAAGTGTGATTTTGGTTCCCACCAGAATATAATAATTTTCTTTTCTACTTAGTTCCAGGGAAGATTCGGTTATTTTTCAAGTTATTGAGAGGGGAAAAAATATATAACGTTTCATGAGTGACTATCCCCATGAAATAATTTTGACAGGAAGAAACCTCTAGAACAGTGTGGGAGAGCAGTAATAAATGAAATACAAATGAGGATTCACTCCAACTAAACTCAAAGGTGTTTCTAAATTTCCTCATTAGAGTGCAGCATTGTACTGACCATTCAACAAACCACTCTATTAGACTATCCTACACATCAGCTAAAGAATAGAATTCAACCTTTTTAAATCTAAAAAGAAAAGATGAAGAGTCTGAAAAGTAAATACTCTCAAAATTCTAATGAATTCCAAACCTGTTAGTTTAGTGTTACTATCCTCACACTCTGCAATGTCCAAACAGTGCACAACCACGCTGGGAACTCAGCTCGAGGGGGCAGTGGCTTCAGAGAGGTGCTACAAATGAAGCCCGCCGCCGCCGCCACCACCACCACCACCGCCCCGCATGCCAAGATGCAGCGAAGACCGCAGGCCAGACTCCAAGAGCACATAGCCAGGGCTTCATCTCTGTATGATCCAACTCTAATGCCAGTCTGTAAGGCGCCATGCAACAGGCCACCAGAAATCCAAGTTCTTTTGTGTAAAAGAAACGATATGCCCGTCAGGACGCCTGTATCAAGCGTGGACGTGGTTTCCTTCCTAAACAAAGAACTGGCTTTGCTGTGCAGATTGTGAGCATGGACTGTGAATGAGCGGTGGAAAAGTTTTAGTGTGACTTACAAAAGAGGATAATCCCTATCCTTCAGGTGAGAGTCTGGTTTACTTTAAAAAATTAATCTTAGAAATAGTTATTTGGCAAAGATAAAGTATTAGCTGTCCTTAGCCTTACGCCACTAAAACTGGTAACATCAACTTTAAGGAATAGAAAACAATCACTTTCCAACTCCATCTGATTCTCATTAAACCATAATCTTCTCACAGAGGGACACTAGACACACTACACTGCCTGCCAGCATGGAAACGCTGTCTTTTCTGGAGCAGGAACACCTCCCCCAGGAGGCTCACGAGAGAAAACCTTTGCTCATCAGCTAGGCCATGATAACTACAAGACCTGTCCATTGCATGGACTGTCACTTGGCGGTCTACCTTTAATGCTTTCACTATCCTACTGTTTACTGTGGAGCCTCCCCAGGAGTGGAACTTGTTAAGCCGTTTTTACAGAAGAAACAAACAATGTCTTAAGTCCTTTACTAAAATAACTTTAACAACTAAAGGAGAGAAAAGCCCACCTTCCCTTCAGATACCAGAGGTTACGGCTGCTGACTTGTCAGATTCTCAGAGCACAGGATGCATTCATTAACTGCAGCAACTTCAAAAATTAAATCACAGTAACACAATCTAACTGGCCTTTAGAAATGGTCCCAAAGAGCTGCAGAGACAGAGGAGCCCCCATTGTCGCTGTTCTTAGGTACTGAACACTACAACCAAAGCTAGTGTCTACCCCTCAGGACCTGTGGAAGGTTTGTTTTTGATTCCAGTATTGCCTCACCATAACACAAGTGCTACGTTTTCATGTAAGCATCGTAAGAGACGCTTAATTTTTCTTTGCATATTAATACCCCACCTACTACTAAGAGACTAGAAGAGAAACAAAGTGGATACCTCTGGGCTTATAGATAGACATTCTTCCAACAGGGGACTCACAAGAAAAGCAAACTACAGGCTTGGATGTTAGTTCTGAAAGAGGAGAAAAGTGTGCTTTTTGCTAATTACCCAATTCTATACCAGTACTCTCTAAGACTGCCCTCTCTTCTGCTATCATCATGGGCATCTACACAAGAGTGAGATGACTCACTATTTTTGGCGTGAAGCTGTAACTGGCAACATTCCTGATCACTTCATGCCTTCTTCCTCGAAAGCAAAGAAGGGCTTTTAAATGCACATAAAACAGAAAACTGCAAACAATAAAAGGTGCAACCTACTGCAAACTCAGTTTTGACAACTGGAGAATTTTCAGCAGCTAATGCAGGGACAAATAGCCAGTAACAGTCCAAATTGACCACCCATGACTCCTCTGTCAGCCAGGAGGGTGAGGAGGACGTCCAGTGCTGCTCTGCTTCAATCTGCTTCAATTTCCTGGGAATGCACAGTTATCTAGTGATGATTATAATGGGATATGAAAACAGCTTAGCAAACGAAATGACACTTTTGGGGTGAGGTAACCACTCATCATTTCATTACAGTGCACTAAAATGAAAAACGACTGACGTGAGTTCCCAGGTGAGAACGAGTCAAAAAGCTGTGTCTCACCAGTCAGGAAAGAAGGTCATGGTGATACCAAATATAATTTTGCTTTGTGACATAATTTATAATTTAGAAATTTCTCAATCTGCAAAAATGGCAAAGCTATTAAAAATAAATGTTCCAATTAATTAACATGATTTGAAAAAAAAGTAAATATATTACAAACATATTTTGCCCTCCCCAAATTCAATAAATACAAAATAGGGCATATCATGATTTCATACAGTCATGTGACTCTCCCTCCAAAAGCTCAGGCACATGGTATCTGCATAATGCCTGCTGATCACCATCATTCCTTTACCAAGCAGAGAAAGAAAGCTTTCACCAGAAGGACCGGTTAGAACTAGCGTGGCATGAAGAAAACGCACCTAAGGAGGAGGAAAGCATGTCCCAACCTTTACTGTTAGGAAGGAATTAGGATCCAACAGTCCCTGACAAAGGAATTACTGTACCACATCATTAACAGACATGTTGTCTTCTTTTTTAAAATATACATATGGAAATTAGATTGAACTCAGGGATGAATCCCCTAATGGTATCCGAAGGATAGTGAAACCTCAGCAAAACCGAGTAGAAAGTGAAGCTCTACCCTTCTCTGGAGGGGAAGGCAGGCAAGAAAAAACCCCACACATCACTTCATAGTCACCAGCTTACTGCACTAACCAATAAGAGTTTACCCCAAACCCTTGGTACTTTAAAAGAATTTCCAAATTTACTTCACCTTAAGTACTTAAATTATTTTAAAAGTACCTAAGGTAAATCAAATTTATGTCTAATTTCCATATTCTGCTTTGAAAGAAACTTTAAAATGTGTGTCCTTCTGATATTACACGTCACTTCACAACTGGTACACGGATTCTACACGTGTCCTCAACAGTTCACAAATCTCACCAAAGAATCACAACTGTAAACATGTAAAAACTAGGAGCGAATGACAGACTGACCAGGTCACAGATGTCATCTTTCAAACCTAGCTGGTCCAGCCTGCTTTTTCACATCAAAATATTTTCTTTAATTACAACTTGCAAATGTATTCCGTGAGTGAGGGATTCTGAAACAAATACACGTGGAGAAGGCAAAGTGACTGTGAGGCCCCACCCCTGAGCAGCCCTGCGGCCACGCACGGTTAGTCGCCAAGGCACTCCCCATCACTGATGTGAATTCAGCCTTGTGTGGTGGCTCCTTTCTTCACGGGCTGATCTTTAGCAAGAAAGGGCTGTGCCAGACCACCTCCTCCCAATTCAGGATGCTTTAGTCAACTCAGGAGGAAGGAAGGACAAACCAACCTTGCTAGGTATGAGACAGAAGGAGGGGAAAAAGGGCCATAAGCTTATTCTGGGAGTAAAAAAGAAAAAAAAAAAAATACCATGACAGCTACTTCCTGCACGAAACACACACAGGTGACCACGCACCCACAGGCAGTCAAGAGACGATTTTCTTTCTGGGTAACCACGTCACGATTAGGAATGGCATCCAGGTCTCACTGTGGTGTTGGGCAGCTGGTGCTGAGTCAGAGCTCCGATTGGCCTCCACACACCACCCGCTACACAGGATCTCACGAGGGCCACTCTATCTAGAACAACCTATGGGAAAACCTGGCTAGAGAATGGAAAGCATTGATCTGAACACTAGGAAATAGTAAAGGGCACTGGTAATCTGAGGTATCTTCCACTTCTAGGACTTGCTGAGAAAAAAAAAAAAATCAACCTATCCAGTCACTGTGCTGAGCCACCAGAGAAAACCGCCAGGCCACGAGGACCCGCCAGGAGGGAATGAGCACCAGTGCTAAGGAGCACACGTGAACACTGACGCAAGGTCCACGGCCGCTTGCTGACTGGGAAGGGGGAGTCCCGCTAATCCCCACTTTTATTTTCAAATCTTCTGCAGGAAAAGAGGAGGGGGGGGTGCAAAAGAGGAAACACATAGAAAACGCCAGGTTCCACCTGCCTGCAAGCACAGACTCAGTTAGGGGTGGGGAAAGGGGGAGATGCATTATTGGTACTTGTAGCCGTGGCACCTGTTACTGTGAAGCCTGTAGGAGGGGCTATGGAGCTGTGGCTGGGCTGCAGGTCCTTGGGAATGCCACTGTGAGAACTCAGCTGGTGGCCGAAGGCTGCGCTGAACTGCGGGAGTTGCTGCTTGGGGGAGGTGGAGGCCATTAGTTCAGCGGAAGGCCCCATGCCACTGAAGCTGGTCTGCGGTAACCCCGGAAGCACACTGGAACTGCTTGGGGTAACGGTGGCGAAGGCAGGCTGTGTGGTCTCTGAGTTGGACGTGGTGGGCGGCGTGGAGAGGGAAGTGGAAAGAAGGTGTCCATCCGCGCCAAGGAGGTTGCTGAATGCAGAGGGGTCGCCAAGGTTGACGGGGAGACTCCCCCAGTGAGTTCTGGGGTTGACCACTCCTCCAAGTGGCACCTCGAGCTGGCTGGGGAGCAAGTGCTGTGCCATGATGGGCATCTCTGCTGAAAAGGTAGCTGCCATAGTATCACCAGAGTACGATGTGTGGGGAGAGGTGATATGGTCACTGTAGGGCGACGGCACGTGCTCGCTGTCATAATGGCTTCCATGGGGTGAGGAGTGTGAATGATCACTGCTGTATTGCTGTCGTGAGGTGATTAGGTCATCTGCCTTGCTCAGCAGCTGGGCAGGATGTGGCCTCTGGGAGGCATGGCTGCCATCATGAAGTCCATGAAACTGTCCTGGGAAGGCTCTCTCCCCAAGTGCACTCTGGCTGAGCAGAGTGGCAGAAGTAAGGCCAACGCTGGCTGGGGCAGAGAACTGCCCCTGGATCTGCCCTGCCAGGGGTGTAGGTGGGTTAGACAGGGAAGCAGAGCGGAGCAGGTTCTCGTCCAGGTCCAGACTAGAAAAGCTGTCGTGTACTATACGTCCATTCAGTAGCTCCCCTAGGTCCGAGTTCACTTCTCGGCTCAAGGACTGGATTCCCGAAGCATCGGTTCCCCCGGAGAACACCCCCATCCCTCTGTCTGACAACCCCTGAACTGGCACCCCGTCTGACTGGGTAAGGACCCCAATGGTACTCAGGCACTCGAGAGAAGTCACAGCCTGCAAGGCCCGCTCAAGCTCCTCGGCTTCTTCGGTGGTCGGGAGGAGGTCTCCGTTCTTTCCTGCATTAACCAAAGCCGACAGCGTCAGCAGAGCTCATAACTGACCCACACAGCGAAAGTCACACATTTGAGTCTTTTAAACACGATCCTACCACAAAAGAGTCCTCCTTCCCAGGCTTGGTGGCACACACCTTTAATCCCAGAACTTAGCCGGCAGAGGCCAGTGGATCTCTGTGAGTTCTAGGTTAGCCTGGTTTAGTTCCTGGCCAGCTAGGGCTGTATAGTGAAACCTTCTCAGGAAAAAAAAAAAGTCCTTTGTGAAAAGAAAAAAAGTTTCTTTTTTGAGACAGGGTTTCTCTGTGTAGCTGTGGCTGCCCTGGAACTCTCTCTAGACCAGACTGGCCTCTAATTCACAGAGATCCACCTGCTTCTGCTTCCTGAGTGTGGGAATTAAAAGCATGTTCTACCACCACCTGGAGAAAAAAGTTTCTTATAATGGGATTAGAAAGAAAAAGTGAAATACTAATCTGCAGGACAGGCCTCAAATGTCAGCTCTCTTGGAATTTCAATTACCATCTTTAATTTATTCTCAGAAATCTGCCATATGAAATGTTTTTTTGGTTGGTTCATTTTAGACATGGTTTCACTATGTAGTCTTGACTGGCCTAAAACTTTTGGACCAGGCTGACCTCAAACTCATAGAGATCGGCCTGTCTCTGCCTCCCAAGTGCTGAGATTAAAGGCATGTGCCATCAAGCCTGGCTCTGTTGAATATTTTTTGTGTTTATTTTTGAGTAGGTGTGCCTGTGTGAACTTCTGCTACATGAATGTGGGTGTCTGTGGAGGCCAAGGTGTTGGATCTTGGAGCTGGAGTTACAAGCAATAGTAAGTTGCCCAGTATGAGTCTATGAATTAAACTCAGGTCCTCTGGAAGAATGCAGATACTCTTACCACTGAGCATTCTCTCCAGCCCTTATAATGTTGGATTCTTAGGACTCTAAATGGTTGACAATGTAAAACTCAATGTCCATTTAATTATACATTATTTTTCACCTAAAATGATATTAATACCATTAACATAAAAAAATAAAGGCAGTATAGAACAAGACAGGTTTACATTATTTGGTCTACACATACATTCTTCCAGCTGGAGATAAGAACACAGAATCCACGCATGTATTTCATGGTAAGCACTCAGTTTCTTTCAGAAGCTACCTTTCTTTTCTTTTCTTTTTTAAAGATTTGTGCTTTCTAATTATGTGTTCATATGTATCTATGTCTGTCTGCTGTCAAGTGAGTGCAATACCTGTGGTGTCCAGAGGGGGTGTCAGATCTCTGGGGGCTGGAGTAAGAGGTGGTTGTGAGAAACCCGCCGAGGACAACCAAAACGTCTTCCACAAAAGCGGCAAGTGCTCTCAACCACCTCTTCAGTACCACAAGTCACCTTTCACAGTATGTTTGACACTCTTTAGTCTTCCTCCTTGGCCAGGCATGGCGGCGCACATCTTTAATGCCAGCACTTGCTGGTTTACAGGTGTGCACCACCATGCCTGGCCCCAAAGACAGGACAAGCTGTAAAACATTTTAATGAACTGGTATGTTGAATGGCACTCTCCAAACACTAGGGAAAATTATTCACTTTAATGGAACAAAACTACATAGCTATTAAAGTATAAATCTACTAAGTATATAATATGATTAAATAAATTATGTCTTTTTCACCTTCTGGAAACAATGTTAGTGATTTTTTTCTATTTATAGTGAGAGACATTTTATACAGATACACTGCAAAAGGCTATTTTATTAAAAAAAATTAATAATAAACTGGCCAATAAATGGCTCAGTGGGTAAGGATCCACGCCCCACAGGCCCCACAGCCTCGTCTAACCCGGAGCCCCTGGAAAGGCAGGAGGAGATAATGCACTCCCAGACACCTACCCTCTGCCCTCCACACCGTGCAGGCTGTGCAAACCTACACATGCATCATGCACTCAGCAATAACAATTAAAGTTATTAGTATTTCTAGGATGATTTGGTGATACTGGGTATAATCCCAGGGCTCCAGAGCTGAGACAGGAGCACTGTGGATTCAATATGGTTAAGAGCCTGTCTTAAAAGCCGAAAATAAAATAAAACTTATTTCCCTTCTTGGGAACCATTTCTAAATCAGCTCCTTAAGTAACACATTGACCATACCTTCAAAGAAATCAAAATCCTGTAAGTCATCAGGCAGCCGTGGCAGGACATCCGCAAAGTCTTCGTGGTTCAACTCTAAGTCATGCGGAATGTCGCTGATCTCGTTGGCAATGTCGTCCGGCAACTCGTCGGCACTCAGCTCTGGCGTGGAAGGGCTACTGCAAAGACAGTGTGGCTAGTCCAGCTTCTTCTCCTTCCCTCGCTGTGTACCTCAGGTTCTCCAGACACTCGGTACACACGGGGGACAGGAACAGAAAGCAACCCCTCCCAAAGCTGCCGGTGACACACTTGGGGACCCAGGGCCAGAGAGTCAGAGTTTAGGTCACCTGCAGCTACATGACGTGGGGATGTCTAGGAATACATGAGACTGTCTCAATGAATAAATAAAGATCTCTCCTCATTTTATGAGAAGGAAATCTGAAATGCTGCAGAAAGACACACCTCACCACATATAGTCACAAATTCCGACAGCCTTTACCCTGAGATGATCATTACCAGATCATAGTCCACTTCAAATTAGTGGAATGATTCACCACTTAGTATATCTATATTTTAGCAAAATTTCAAACCTGATCAAGGTAATAACCTTAAAAATGAAATAAATGAGCCGGGCGGTGGTGGTGCATGCCTTTAATCCCAGCACTCAGGAGGCAGAGCCAGGCGGATCTCTGTGAGTTCGAGGCCAGCCTGGGCTACCAAGTGAGTTCCAGGAAAGGCGCAAAGCTACACAGAGAAACCCTGTCTTGAAAAATCAAAAAAAAAAAAAAAATGAAATAAATGGGCAAGATTGAGGTGAAAGTCATCTGATCAAAATGTTTAAGTCTGCCAAACTTTTAAAACATATTTCTAAGTACTTCTATTATACTGTGTATAATTTCTGTTAAAACAGAAAAACCTTGAGAGTACACAATTACATTCGCAATTTCAGCATCTGAGGACACTGATGGATGTGTACTGCAGAGTTGGCCGGCCACTGCTAAGTCTGTCTGTGACAGCCACAGGGCAGGACTGTGGCCACACTGCACAGAGGAAAACGACCCCACTGCCCCACTGACCGGATCTGCGAGGCCTCCACTGGCAGTGAGACGCTGGTGGGCATGCTGAGGTTCCCTTGGGGCACTGCAGGGGGAATTGGTTTCTGGGGTCGACGAGGTCCACGCCGTCTCTTCTTCTTGTGTTTTTTGGTAAGTGCAGGGGGCTTCGTTTTTTTCCTAGGTTTCCTCTGTTGCTGGTGCTGAACTTTACGGGAGTTATCTCCTCTCAAGAAATTATCCTTTGAAATGAACAGAAGATTTCTTTCAAACCTACTCGACCCTTCACTCCTGATACGTCTGTGCACAAGAAGGTGGTCAGAAGTTGGCGAGTCTCTATACGTTTCAAAACTAGAGGAAAGCTTACATTTCTACCCCAGAGCAATGAGGAGCGGGGATGCAGCTAAGCAGGTCCAGTGCCTGCCTGGCATGTGCAGGGCCCTGAGGCGGGCCCCTCACACCACTTAACCAGCTGTGGTGGCGCATGCCAGTAAGCCAGACACTTGACAGGTGGTGGCAGGAGGGTCAGAAATTCAAGGTCAACACAAGACCCTGTTTTGGAAAGAAAAGTTAAGTATTTGAAAGATCTGTTTTACCTAATTTAAATATTGTGTAATATTGAAACATCACATTATTACACTAATGATTTTTGTGTACAAGTTAAAATTGGGCTGAAGACAAGTCTCAGTGGTTAAGAGAATTGTCTGCAATTCCAGAGGACGGGGGTCCCATGCCCAGCACCCACATGTCAGCTCACAACTGTCCATAACTCCAGTCCCAAGGAACTTGACACCCTCTTCTAGCCTCTACAGGCATGCAGCACACATGTAGTTCACATACATACATGCAGGCAAAACATTCATACATATAAAAATAATTTTCTAAAAAAATTGATTATCTGGAAAAACTTAACTATCAAAAAATTTTTCTTAATTGTCTATATAATGCTAAAGCTATGCACAATAAATGTACAAAAAATTTAACTTAATTCACCTCTCTTTCTCTCTCTCTCTCTCACATACACACACACACACACACTCCATCCACTTAAAGACATTTTGAGGGCTAGGGGTGTAGTGTCATGGTGGAATGCTGAGGTTTGATTTCCAGAAACGGCATCAAACATACAAGACGCTAAGACAGTGCACGCTCTCCAGGAACTTCCCCTGGGGAAACATCAAGGACACAAACACAACACACAGAAAGTGAACAACAGTACATCTTAAAAGACATGGATGGATGAGAGCATCATCTAGGCCAAAGAAAATGGCACAAACAAGAAAAGCGTACACATAAACTGGGAAGCAGATGGGCTAGAGCACATATGATTCCGAACATCTCAATTTTAAACTTGAATAGACAATGGGACTCTCTTCCCATCCAGGAGTCACTTTTGAGGAGAAGGCACGACAGGCATGTTACTAGATGAGCCAGCCTGGTGGGCGTGTAGGGATGAAAAGGTCAGGGTTCCCTTCAGAGGACCGTCGCCACAGTCAATAAAGTAAGTAAAAAACAAAGGCTCTTCAAACTGAATGTCTTCTTTTCTAAGGCTTATTCCATTATTTATTTATGTGTACGCCTACACGAATGTATACATACATGTGTGCGCAGGTATGTGCACATGCCAAGGTCAAAAGAGTATCCGATCTCTAGGAGCTGGTTCCAGGCATCTGGGAGGTGCCCAGCTTGTTCTGTGGGTGCAGAACTCCAGTCTTGTGACTGCAAAGTAAGTGCTCTTGGCCACTAAGCTACCTGCAGCCCTGAATTTGGATGAGTTGTGTTTTGCTGCTGGGAAGTGAACCCAAGGCTTCACACATGCTAAGCACACTGAGTTACACCCTCAGCTCCAATAGAGAAAGCTCCTTAGATGTGGCGACGTTAAAGGGAATATGGAACGAAAACACTTCTAGAGGGTCTAGGTGGGTCGACTGTTTAAGACAATTACCATTAGTTCAGTGGTTGTCCATCCTTTTGAAATTGCAATTTGACCCTGGCCTACAAATCTCTTAGGCCGCACTTGAAAATACGCTGGGGTGCATGGCCCACATTCCTTCATTAACTGATACAAGAGAAGCTGCACATTCTGCACATTCAGAAGGGGAGTCAAGGGTTTATTCTGGCCTGCACACAGTTTGAGATAGGTGGGTTTCTAGGTGCAGACTTAGGGAACCCACAGCACTGTAGAGTCCTCTAGAAATGCCTACGGGCAGGAACACAGTAACAGAGGAAAACACGGACGAGGCTGTACAAAAGCTGTGAGTGAAGAGGCAGGGAAGGGAGCTGCTAAGGAACCAGAGACTGACAACTCAGCTCAGGCTCGGCCGCCAGTGTCCTTAACTCCATCATCTGAGACAGATTTGATCTTTGTGCCACCCCAAAGTTTGCTTGTTGAGCTCCTAACCCTCCGTGAGATGCTATCAGGAAACAGGGCCTTCAGTCACCAGAGGCCTCGGGAAACAGAATGACTGACTGCTCACAGAAAAGTGACATGAGGGCTGGAGACATGGCTCAGAGGTTAAGAGCACTGACTGCTCTCCCAGAGGTCCTGAGTTCAATTCCCAGCCACCACATGGTGTCTCACAACCATCTGTAACGAGATCTGATGCCCTCTTCTGGCCTGCAGGGATACATGCTGTATACATAATAAATAAATAAATCTTAAAAAAAAAAAAAAAAAGAAAGAAAGAAAGAAAAGAAAAGAAAAGAAAAGTGACACCAGAGGGGCTGGCTGGGCCCTCTCTGCAAACCAGAAGCAAACCCCGCGGGGAGAAGCCAGAGGGCTTAGTGGGTGAAGGGTGTTGTGGAATATCACTTTAACTAGACAAAGATGTGTTACACTTGTTAATTGCTACATTTGTTTAACGATGTAAAGATGTGTTGCTTTGCCTGCCGAAGGCAACTGATTGGTCCATTAAAAAGTTGAAGGGTCAACAGCTGGGCAGCAGAGGGACAGGTGGGGCTGGCGGGCAGAGAGAATAAGTAGGAGGAGGAATTCAGGTTCTAGGAGGAGAGAGAAGGAGAGGGAGACACCCGGGGCCAGGCAGCCGCCAGCCAGCCAAACTCAGAATGAATAGGACACACAGAATGAAAGAAAGGTAAAAAGCCCCGAGGCAGTATGTGGATGAAGACAAAAAGGTTAAATTAAGTTATAAGAGCTAGTGGGACAAGCATCAGATAAAGTCAGGCATTCATAACTAATAACAAATCTCTGTGTCATGATTTGGGAGCTGGTTGGTGGGCCAAGAGAAAGCCTGGTACAGAAAGGCACTTTCCCTAGGACCCACATGGTGGAAGCATCCACTTCTGCAAGTTGTCCCACGTGCCCATACACGTGCCCACACACATGCCCACACACGTGCCCACACATGTGCCCATACAACCAAGCAAATAAAGAAATGAGAAGGAAAGAAGAGAGCGAATCCCACGGCATCCCAAGTCTCCACTCCCATCATTTATTCTTCCCACTCTGTCCTTGGAGTCGCAGCGTCTGCTAAGCGTGTGAGGTGAGTCTCTGTTGTTTGTAAGCCAGCCTTTTGCATTTAGTTCCTCTGCCGGCTACCTGAACTGAGACACTGGGTTCCAGAAACTCTAAGATGCACATTTTGCTGCCTCTGCAGCTGAGGAGTGTTTTATAACTGCTGCCATCTCAAGAGTTGCAGTCTGCCAGATGATGGTCACAGACGGCATGACTGTCACTGCGTGAATTAAGTTATACACACTGTTGGTAACAAGTTAGGCAAAAACAATAATAACAAAAGTGTTCCGGAAAGGCACCAAGAGCAGCAGGGTATAAAAGTGACGTTAGTGAAACAGATACTCATAGTGAAGAATGAACACAAGCTTTCTTCCCAAAGCAACACCCCAGGGGGACAGGAAAACTAAGTACAAGATAGATTAAGTTGTATTATAGTTTCAGAACAAAGATTTGCACGTCAAATAATACAGCCAAGACTAGGAGGAAGATTAAAAATCTGTATCTAAAAAGGTCTTAAATAGGCTCTTTTGACAGTTATAAAACAAAAATTCCAACTTATCAAAGTGCACTGTATCAAGCCGGGTGGTGGTGGTACACCCCTTTTAATCCCAGCACTCGGAAGGAAGAGCCAGGCGGATCTCTGTGAGTTTAAGGCTAGCCGGGTCTACAGAGCAAGATCCAGAACAGACACCAAAACTACAGAGAAACCCTGTCTCGAAAACAAACAAACAAACGAAAAGCATTGTATCTATGACTAGAAACATTTTCTTCCTGATAATATATAAGACAGTGTTTGAACAGTTGATGGCACTCTTCATTCTGTGAACCCTGGAGCAGCTCTTAACTGAACATCTAAGAAGCAGCAGACAGTAGTGAGTGGAGACCAACACCATTAGCATCACATTCAATGATCACAAGACAAGGAAAGCACAAAATCAAGAATTCTGAAAGGAATACTTCATGGAAACGTAAGTGTAGACTTGGTTTGTTGTAGTTTTTGTTTGTTTGGTTTTTTGCGACAGGTTTTTTCTGTGTAGCCCTGGCTGTCTTGGAACTAGCTCTGTAGACCAGGCTGGCCTGGAACTCAAAGAGATCCACCTGCCTCTGCCTCCTGAGGGCTGGGATTAAAGGTATGCGCCAGCACTGCCCGGCATAAGTACAGACTCTGAACTCACAGATTTATTTTTTAAACCAGTGCTGAAGATACGGCCGAGTGTTTGCTGATACAGGAGCCCAGGCATGGTGTGCGCCTGCCATCACAGCGCTTAGGAGGTGGAGGCTGGAAGACCAAAACTTTATTGTCATCCTCAGCCACATGCCAAGATCAAGGCTAGCCTGGGATACAGAAGATACTATCTCAAACCTCCACCACCAGCCAAAAAAAAAAAAAAAGCCCACGTGGGAAATGACGTCAACATAAAGAGCTGGGTCCTACCCTGCTATGAAAGCTGCAGGGCCGCATCAACAAGGATCTATGGAATCATCAACCAAGGTCCACAAGAGGGTTCAAACGCACACAGAGGCCTAGGGAAATGGCCTGCTTGGTATTGCACTGTTCAAGCATGAGGACCTGAGTTCAGATTGCCAGCACCCCCATACAGAGCTGGGCCCAGCACCCCCATACAGAGCTGGGCCCAGCACCCCCATACAGAGCTGGGCCCAGCACCCCCATACAGAGCTGGGCCCAGCACCAGGCTTCTACACTCCCAGCACTAGGGAGGCAGAGGCACGCTCATCTCCAGAGCTGGCCAGGCAGCCAGTTAAGCCAATCAGTGAGCTCGAGGCTCAGTAAGAGAAGCTGTCTCAAAAAACAAGGCGAGAAGAACTGGCAGACACCCAACATCAACCTGGCATCTACATGTGCAAGTGCACACACATGAACAGGTACACACACACACAAAAGCATCAGGAACTAGGGTGTGGTGGCTCTCACACTTGTAATCTTAGTACTCAGGTGGCTGGGGCACGTAACTCATGAGTTCAAGACTGGCTTGAGTTCAGAGTGAGACCCTGACTCAAAGAAATGAAGAAACACACACACACACACCATGAAAGCATCCTTCATTCACATAAAACCTAAATAAACTAAGAAAAAGTGTGCACACTTTAAATATATCTTAATTAAATAGGAAAATGAATTCAACACTTCTACATGAAGCTTAGTATTCAAATTCTTCAAACCATGATGCTAACAAAAAGGAACAAAACACCAAAGAAGTTCTTGGTAAAGCCAGTATGTTACCATGGGGACAGACGAGGAAGGTGGCTTCTCCACCTAACTGTACCCTTAGCTAGTGACAAAGCCAGAACCACAAACCAGCCTCCCAGTGAATGGTACTGGGGCACCCATGGAACTGCAGTGTGCTCAGGACACGAGGCACTTCCTCGGCCTTGGGGTACAGCATGCACCAGGCACAGTATCTTACAACTGCTTGATGGGTGGAAACAAGCTAACCCAACTTGGAGGGTTTGCTTTCTGTTTTCTATTCTGGCCTCAACCCAGAATCTTGTTCATGACAGGCAAGTATGCAACTACTAAGCTAACTTCGCCCCAAAACAAACCCATTGTAAACAGTTACATAATTCAAATATTTGACTAACCAAATGTGTCTCTTCTCCAAATTATTCCATGTTAATTAGGATTCATGATGCCAGCATTAACAAAAGCAATGATTAAGTTCAATAAAATTATAGAAAAGCTTGGTATTTTGCCTGAATTTATTAATTATCCAGATCATTCCCAGAACTGCATATAAAAAAGCAGAACTGAGCTTGAAAAATCTGCTGTGTATCAGAAAATGTGTCTTTATTATGTGTGTGTGTGAGAGACAGAGAATATGGGCAGGTGATTTTAAAAAGGATCTTACCTAAGTAATTACAGGTTTAGTATTTTTCATCTGAAACACTGAGAGAGCACAGATGTATTATAGTTTTTTTAGTATTGGCATAGAATTTGCCTGTGGGAATCCTTACTCCAGGAATCTCCAAACCAAAATCCGGAAGGCTCCGAAACCTGTACTTTTTGGGTGTCATATGTCATCTTAGAACCTTATAGATTTGGGAGTTCTGGATTAGAAACATTCAAACTTCACTAAATATTTCCTCAAACAGTGGGGGTTTGGTTTTGTTATAAAAAGGGTCTCAAATTCAAAAGGTCAACACAACATTTTGAAATTTTTTAGTCAATGGTAACACAGCACAGAGTTTCAAGTATTAAAATCACTGTTTTAAGAAGTTGTAGATTTTCAACACTGTACACAAACTCCTTTGTTACAAATAAATATCTATGCTTCTACAAAAACAAACAATTAATAAATGGGACTTCTTGAAACTGAAAAAGGAAATATTCCAGCAGGACAGGGAGTGACTGACAGTTGGTGACTTCTGGGGTTGGTCGGTTCTCTTTACGGGTGTGGCCCTCCCTAGGTTGACCACGCTCCGGTGGGTGGCCCGACACCATGCGTATATAGACAGCACAAACGGGCCTCCGTGGATGTCTGGGAATTCAGAGTCAGCATGATCTATACAGTGAGTTCTGCGGCAGCCTGTCTCAAAACCAAACCAAACCAAACCAAAACACCACACACGAAGTTGGGATGGGGTGGGAAGTGGTGGGGGGTGGATCTGGGAGGAGTTGGAGGGAGGGACGGTGGGTGAATATGTCACAATACCTTTTATGCATATGGGAAATTCCCAAAAAATAACAAAACATTTTAAAAGAGAAAAATAAAATAAAATCACTGTTTTTACAGTACTTCCTTAACATTATCACATATAAATCTCATTGCTTTCATTTCCCAGCAGGAATAGGCATCAACAGGTTGAGAGCCCCAACGGCAGAACTCACCATTTTTTTGGCATGTTCTTCACACAGGGGCGTCTGGTGTGTGATGTCAAACACTGGTACAGGGCACTGCTGTCCATCTGCAAACTTGGCCGTACAGCTGGAGAACAGCTGCTGAGAGCCGTTCAAGAGGATGTCTGGGGTTGGCAGTCAAGGAGAAACACACTGAGACCGTTTAACTCTTCCGTGTCCGGATAACGGCTGCTACTTCCCTTACCTGTGTTTCATTAGCAAGAACTGTACTGTCTATAAAGTTAACGTAGCCATCCAACTGCTAACAGGGAAAATGACAATAGTGACGATATCATCATTATTCACTAACTGACACTTCTGAAGGAGTCTACTCAGCTAGCAGGCTCTCAGGCATGGCTCCTTTATGGCCATTCTGAACTAATTTCTGTAATTTGAATAAACAAGATCATTTTCTTGTTAACAGGCTCCTAGAATTCCCACTAAAAACATTGTTCTGAAACCAGCACTTAATTTTTCTAGGTATTTTATTTCATCTATGTGTGAGTGTTTGGCCTGAATGTCTATATGTCAATCCCAAAATAGGAATGGACAGTTAGTTGTAAGCTACCATGTGGGCTCTGGGAACTGAAATCAGGTCCTTTGGAAGAGTAAGTAATAAGTGCTCTCAACTGATAAGCCATCTCTCCAGGCCCCAAAACCAGCATTTAAAAAGAAAACTTTTTCCTAGGATACTCACCAAGGAAAATTAGAATTAAAAAAAAAAAAAAAAAAAAAAAAAAAAAACCACCTGTTCAAGGTTGACTGCCAGGATCCAAATCAAACTCACAAATTAATGACAAAACTAATTTGAAATCAAAGCCCTATTGAAAACTGGAATGTCTACGGCCTTTTGTTTTGTTCCATTTTGTTTCTTAGACAAGGTCTTGCAATGTAGCCTAAGCTAAGCCTTAAACTCATGACTGTAGGGGAAGACTACCTCGGAACACCACCACCACCACCACCCCAAAATAAGAAAGAAAAGAGAAAAGAGACAAAAGAAAGGTCCATCCTCTATCACAAGCTCTAGTTTCTGAGCTGAGGACAGGGCTTGCTAGCAGGTCATGTTAGAAGCATATATGAGGCCCTCCATTCAATTTCCAGTACCACACAAATAAAAATAAATAAATAAAAAGATTTATTTTCTGTTTAGAAAGTCCATTTGTGTTTCCCTTTGGCTTATACTTATTATACATAAACTGCTACAGAAGAGCCTGTGGAGACACAATTTAAAGGAGAGAAAGGGGGCACACACTGAGCCTCAGATTGTGACGCCCACCTGGGGGACATGATGAGACATTGTTTCTAAGGAGGAAGGAAGGAAAGAGAAGCACACCCATCCGGGGACACCACTGCAGATGAGTAATCCCAGTATCTGGGCGGCTGAATCAAGTTTCAGGCTAGCCAGGTTACGTAGTGACAGCCAGGCTATAACCTAATTCACAATATCTCAAATACATAAGTACCAAACGAAGATTGTAAACTAGAGCACCGCTAAGAGGAAATACTTTTAGCTGGATGTGTTGACACAAGCCTGTAACCTCGGCACTCGGGAGGTTGAGGAAAGACCACCACAAGTTCACCAGCAACCGGGGCTATATAGCAAGACCCTGTCTGAAGAAAACAAAAGTATTTTAAATGCTAATCAGTTTAAAATATTTAATGAAAATGAGGGTTTGGGCCAAGTGAGATGGCTCAGTGGGTAAGGCTTTCTCTGCCAGCCTGCCGACCGCAGTTCAAGCCACAGAACACACAGAAAGAAAGGTAAGGAAAAAGAAATAACTTCACACTGGGAGTTCAAGGGCAACTGGCTACTAAAACCCTGCCTCTAAATAAATAAATAAATAAAACAAAAAATAGAGTGCCAGGTGCACGCCCTTAATCCCAGCACTTGGGAGGCAGAGGCAGGTAGATCCTCAGTTCGAGGCAGCCTGGTCTACAGAGTAAGTTCCAAGACAGCCAGGGCTACACAGAGAAACCCTGTCTTGAAAAACAAACAACAAGAGAAGTGATTTGATTTTCCATCAATAATCATTATAGTTAGAGGCTGCAAGCACCTCAAGGACCAGCATTCCGTTTTAATAAGAAATACTTCGCTGGCGTGGTGGCGCACGTCTTTAATCCCAGCAGCACTTGGGAGGCAGAGCCAGGTGGATCTCTGTGAGTTCGAGGCCAGCCTGGGCTACAGAATGAGATCCAGGACAGGCACCAAAACTACATAGAAAAACCCTGTCTCGAAAAACCAAAAAAAAAAAAAGAAGAAGAAGAAGAAGAGGAAGAAGAGGAAGAAGAGGAAGAAGAGGAAGAAGAGGAAGAAGAAAGAAAAGAAAAGAAAAACTTCAAGAGCAGTCGTTAGCAGAACCTGCTTTGCCGCTCTGGGCAGAAGTCAGCGCCCTCAGCTCTGGCACAGGTCCCAGTCCCCGCTCTCTGTGAGACAACCAAAGAGCACACGCTGATGCACCCGTGAGCCTCTCCTTCCAAACCCAGTGTAGTGAAAGTGAAGTACAGACACGTTTAAAAAGCAAGCTCGGTGACAGAGCCAGAGAATAACTCAGGACTCTGAAAGTTAGAACCTATGTAAACATTAGTCCAAACACGGAATAGTTCTTATTTCACAAGTTTCTTTTTGCCCCCCAGATATGGTAGTGATGTCACCTGGAGTCTCAGCAAGTGAGGACACTGAGGCAGGAGACTCAAGAGTTTGAGACCAACCTCAACTCTACAGTGAAACTCTATCTCAAAAAGAAGCATGCCAGGGAGCGCTCACTTGACTTGAAAATGAAGCACAGTGGGAGAGCGGCTGCCTAGCATGTGGCGGACCCAGGGGGTAAAGGCACACAGTACACAGCCCCAGGGCTGGAGAGATGGCCCAGCGGTTAGGAGCACTGGCTGATCTTCCAGAAGAACTGGGTTCAATTCCCAGCACCCACATGGTCTGACACACAGCCTCAGGCCAGGTGGTAGTGGTGCATGCCTTTAATGGGGGGGAGGGGGAAGGGTTAGGCAGGGGGATCTCTGTGAGTTCCAAACCAGCCTGGTCTACGAGTGAGTTCAAAAACAAAACAAAAAAAAGCACCCAGCCCCAAAGGAGTTAGTACCGCCAATGCCTGCTTGATGTGGTTATCAAGGATACGCTGGAAACAATGTCTGGTGAAAGGAAGGGCCTTGTTGGAGCACTGTTCGCCCTTCACTGTTCCGCTGCATGCTGCTGGCTCCACCTCCTTCAACTTGGTCTGGCTGAAGCTAAAGAAGGAAAAATGTAAAATTAATTGGAAGTGTTCTAACAACCCAGCGTAATTTTTGTTCTTCTGAACGTTAATCTGTCGTCTTATTTCTATGTGTGCATGCACAAGTACAAGCCACAGCAAACCTGTGGAGGCCACAGGCCAACTCCAGGGAGTCGGTTCCCTCTTTTCCCCCATGTAGCTTCTGAGGATCAAAGGCAGGTCAGTAGGCTGGATAGCGAGTGCTTTTCTTTACCCATTCATTGCCCATTTCCTTTGGCCCCAGGATAAATATTCAACACTGTGTTTCTGCAACACCCACATTGTAACTATCTTTACTATGCACAGTCATTAAAACACAAGTATGAATTAAAGCAAGCATTACCAAATGGGTTATTTACCTGAACTACTAACATTCAGGGCAAACAGCTACATCACAGTGGTTCTCAAATACATCTATCTGTTTGTTTTGATCTTGTTTTCTGAGACAGGGTCTCCCTGTGTAGCACACGCTGGCTTTCCGCCTTCATATCTGAGAGCTGGGATTGTATATGTGAACCTAGACACTCTCCCTTGGGTTTGTGGCTTGTTGTCGTTGTTTGTTTTGTTTTCTTTGGAGACAGGGTCTCTTTGTGGAGCTCAGGCTAACCTAGAAGGCACTATACAGCAGTCTGGTCTCAAACTCACAGCATTGCTGCTTCAAATTCCCCAGAGCATAAACCACATCACAGGCATAAGCCACTCTGCCCAGCTTTGTTGTTGTTAAGTGATGAAGACAGACCTTCTTCACTACGTGACATCTTACACAGATTCTCCTAAGCCTCATGGACTTCTCACTTCTAAAGCAGAGACTCCTTGAGCTGGCAGGGCTGACATGAGTAGAGAGATGAGACACCCCTATATCACCCGTGGAGACCTGGGGGTACACAGTACTCCCTAAGGTGGTTTTCAGTCTACTGTTGTCATGACCATTTGGCCGTCTAGTGCCAATGCACAGTAAGTCTAAAGACACCTGAGCGCATACCTGGAAAAGGGACCGTGAACATGAGGAAATGGTTACGCTATATATACATCCTTCAAAATGTGCTCAATTTGCCGGGCGGTGGTGGCGCACGCCTTTAATCCCAGCACTCGGGAGGCAGAGCCAGGTGGATCTCTGTGAGTTCGAAGCCAGCCTGGGCTACCAAGTGAGTTCCAGGAAAGGCGCAAAGCTACACAGAGAAACCCTGTCTCGAAAAAACCAAAAAAAAAAAAAAAAAAAAAAAAAATGTGCTCAATTTGAACGTATGGATAAAAGCTTGCTACATTTTGCAACTCCATGCTTCATTATTTAAATGCTATATTCACTTTGATCACTTGGCATATGAGTATTGTAACCTATATTTTATCAGTAGGCGACGTCTGCAGTCGGTCCTAGGTTCAGTCACCAGCATGGCATCAGCCAGGCACTATGGTGTAAGCCCACAACAGCAGCACTCGGAAGGGGCTGGGAGCAGGACTGGGAGTGCAGGAGCAGCCTTGGCTGTGAGACTCTCAAAAACAAAGCAAGGATGTTAAGAACCAGCAAGATGGCTCGGTAGGTAAAAGTATTTGCCCCAAATCTTCAATCTGAGTTCGATCCCCAAAACACACATGGTAAAAGGAGAGAACTGGCACCTGCAATTTACACACACACACACACACACACACACACACACACACACACACACACACACTTTAAAAACAGAAAAAAACCCTAATAAAGGTAGGAAAGCAGTGGCATGGGCCTTTAATCCCAGCATTCAGGAGGCAGAGGCAGGGGATTCGCTGTAAACTGATGGCAGCCTGGTCTGCAATTCCAGGCCAGCCAAAGCCTGTCTCAAAGCAAACAAACAAACAAGAAGACTAGTCCATTTCCTTCTTTGTTGGTGGTACTGGGTTTGGCGCTAACACCACATGCACGTAGACAAACCCTCGGTGACTGAACCACACCTTCAGCTCATAGTCACAGTATTTCTACACTGCTCCTAAAAAAGATGTTTACACTATTAACTTTAGCCTCTAAAAACAACGCATAATTTTTTCATAAGGAAATCTGTATTATATTAGCAGATAAGCCCCAAACTGCTTGGTCTAGATGTTTATACCACATCGTACTCAATATAAAACAGATAATTTCTCTGAACACTTTAATAATCTACTAAGCTATCTACCGGGCCTAATGTACAATATATTTCCTTGTTTCTTCCTTTCTTTTTTGAGGTCTCATGTAGCTGAGCTGGTTTTAAGTTCAAGTTCACTAAGTAGCTAAGAATGACCATGAATTCCCGACCTACTTCCTAGATTCTAGGATTACAAGCTTCTGTCCGTCTTTCTCTGTATGTCTGTCTGTCTCTGTATGTGTGTGAGTGCACACACACAAATGTACCCGATGCAGGAGAGAGCATGTCACGGCACATGCATGGAGATCAGAGGACAGTCTGGGAAGTGGGTTCTATGAATTGAACTCAGCCGTCAGGCTTGCAAAGCAATGGCTTCCCCTGCTGGGCCATCTCACTGGCCCTAGTTCATTTTTAATGTCACTTTATGGTCCAGTTTACCAATCTCTCTCATAAACCCAGTCAGAATTTCATTATCTCTACAGATAAGTTATAACTATGTTATTAAATAATGATACCATCGAAATGGCCCTGGAAAAAACAAAGAGAATTACTAATGTTTCATTAATCATGGGTGACATGATCAGTGACAAATGACACCAATCAGTCTGGAAGCTGTTTACTTTGTTTTGTTCACCGATACTGGGAATTGAACTTAGAACCTCATGCATCCTGGTCAAGTACTCAACCACTGTGCCACATCCCCCAGCAGTCCAACCTGGTATTTTATAATTTGGTAAGACTTATCATTAATTTAAAAAAAATCACTAAAGTTGTTTTGGAAAGTGTTCTGAAAATTAGTGCACTGTTATACCTGGATTAAACCAAAAAGCAAAAGTCATAAATACAGTTTTTCACATTACCAAATTGCTTCAAACTCAATTCACAGACCGCGCCCACATCTCTGACAAGATTACTATCAAGCATTAGAACTAGGTATACAATGCCCATGTGCACAAATGCTTTCTGCTGGAGACACAATTTCCCTAATACTGTACAGGCGACAGCTTTCTCATAGTGTTGGACACCATTAGTTTGCAAACTCTTGAGCTGAGGAAACAGTCTGAATGGATAGAGAAGAGACCTCTGCATGTTAAATTCTGTTCATCCGTTCATCACTTGGAGCTCCCAGGACTAAATACACCTTGCTTCCGCATCTACAGAAATGACTGTCTAGAACCGGAGACTTAATTAAGACTATATAAACTAATACTTTTCAATATCCAAGTCTAATCAGTGACATATTTTCTGTATATTAACTTACTCTTTTCTACATCTATGCACTTAAAAGTTATTATCACCCTAAATTATAAAAACTAAAAAGAATAAAACTTTATCTAGTTAGCTATTCTAAATTGAGAAGCAGCTCCCTAGGTGGGCAGCAGGGCACATGCCAATAACTGAAGCACTTGGAGGCAGACAGTTTACTATAAGCTTAAAGCCAGCCTGATCTACATATGAAGTTCCAAGCCAGGCAAGGTTACATGACAAGACTGTCTCGTGACACAAGAAAAGGAAAGAAAAAAGACATTTCTTTAAAGTGAGATGTTTAAGAAATTTTTTTACTCAATTCAATGCTTTAAATGTGCATTTCAGGTAAAACTAAAAGTTATAACCACAATAAATACATAGATTTCAGAATTATGTATAAATAAGATTAGAAAATTTAACTTAGGGTTTTTTTGTTGTTGTTATAAATAAACTTTTGTTTGTTTGTTTGTTTTTTGAGCTAGGGTTTCTCTGTGTAGCCCTGGCTGTCCTGGAACTCACTCTGTAGACCAGGCTGGCCTCAAACTCTGAGATCCACCTGCTTCTCCCTCCCAAATGTTGGGATTAAAGGCGTGTGCCACCATGGCCTGGATTATAAACTATTCTTTAAAAATATATAGCTGAATTATTATTAAAATTTCTTCATCAAAACAGCATAAAACTGATTTCAATTATGCAGATTTTTATTTAACAAATTGTGCAAATACTATAAAACCACATTTTCAAATGAATCTTTAAGAATGTAGGACAATGCCATGATATACTTTTTAAGAGGAAAAACTGGTCACAGATCTGTTTTGTGTGGTTTTTCTTTTGTTTATTTATGATGTGGTCTTACTCTCCTGTAGCTGAGGCTGGACTTGAACTCATGACCTTCTTGTCTCAGCCTATACAGTGTTGGTATTCCAGGGTATGACACCAGACTAGACTGACAAATAACTTTTCAACAATACAGGTCAATTTTATCTTAACTATATAAAACAGAGATAGTCTAAGGGCGAATTTCTGTATTATGCAGTCACTAAAAATCCAGGAAAAACAGTACTTAGGAGACTGAGAAAGAAGAGCACAAATTCAAGACCAGCCTGAGTGTATAGTGAAAACGTGTCTCAATAAACAAACAAACAAAAGAACAAAAAGAAATGTAAACAACTGTGTGAATATATAAGATAATATACACATTAAAAGAAAGCATATAAAAAGAAAAGTCATAACTAACACAAATAAAAATATATTTTTATTATAAAATGAAAATACTGTTTACCTTTATGGTAAAAAATATATAACTTTTTAAAAACTGTAATTCTGTCTTTAAATAACAACTTTTTTTTTTTTTAATTTTTCCAGACAGGGTTTCTCTGTGTAGCTTTGCGCCTTTCCTGGATCTCGCTCTGTAGACCAGGCTGGCCTCAAACTCACAAAGATCTGCCTGCCTCTGCCTCCCGAGTGCTGGGATTCAAGGCGTGTGCCACCACTGCCCGGCCATAAATAACAGAACTTTTTAAATGTTCAATCTTGTTTTGTTTTTAAGACAGCCAATGTTCTCAGCCAGATGAACCGGTGTCTGCTACGTCCCAGCACTCAGGAGGCTGAGACAGGAGGACCCAGGGTGTGAGGCCAGACTGGATACACCGGCTCACAAAGCCCACCAGGAAGAGAAATAACATCCTCAAATCCCTTCAATGAATAAATTCTAATGAACTAGGGGGTGAAAGAACCAGCAAACGCTTCCATCTCAGTCAGCTCAGGGCAGTGTTAGCCACCACCCAGGCAGTGTTCCTTCCCAACAACAAAACCAAATGCAGGTCACCTCACACAATGCCTAACCTATCCCTCCAAGGTTATTCAGAGCAAAGTAGAGGAGACAAGGCCTGAGAAGGTGGCCTTGCCTGTGTGGCTCTAACCTGGCTCGACTGCACGCCGCTCTCCGCAGTTCCTGGATCAACTGGCCAGTGCATTCAGGCTCCTTACTGGCTGCCTGCAGCAGCGCTTTCCTAAAAGTATGCCGGCATTTCTTTTGTCGAGACTCTGCCCGCTCCAGGCGGCAGAGGTGCTTGTATTTCTGCTGAAAGTAAGTGCAAAGTTGGGTCACCCTGGAGCTCCTGCTCCCCACGTCATCGTCGTCCGACCTGGAAAGTGCAGGGAGAAGGGCGGAAACTGATTACATGGGAAGATCATACGAGAAAGGGGAAGTGAAAAGGAGTGAGGGCTGGGGAATGAATGCACAGGCTTAAAACTTCTGTGGCACTGGAACACAAACTCAATAAACCCGGAGAGATTCCAGGAGCACCGAAAACAAGTCCACGATTTCAGCCGGCACCAGGGCAGGGCAGGTGCTCATCTCAGTGAGACTTCAGCAGGCACAGCGGCACCAGGGCAGGACATGAAGGACAAGCATTTCTTTACCTTGGCTCACTTCAAGGATACAGACATCGTACCTTCATCAGAAACACAGCAGTCACCTCTAACAACACAAAGAGCCTTTTACACATTTTGGTTCAAATCGCCTTTTCTCCTCAGAGTGTGTGGTGTAGGAACCATGGAACTACCATTGCAGCTACAGAAGCATCTGAACTGCTTTCACAGGCCAGGGTTACATAGTTTCCTACCACGCTAATGTGACTGACTGCCGGTTCCAATTCAAGTGTTTGCTGGAAAGGATGCTGAGGCAGGTGGATCTCTGTGAGTTTGAGGCCAGCCTGGTCTACAGAGATTCCCTGTCTCAACAAACAAACCAACCAAATGGGTAACAAGGGGCGAGAGAGAGAGAGCTCGGTGGGAAAGAACATTCGCTGCACAAGCATAAGGACCTGAGTTTGGCTCCCAGAACCAAAGTGAAAGGGAAAGAGTGGGGAGCTGGAGAGACGGCGGCTCATGGGTAGGAGGACTCGTTCTTGCAGAGTCCCTGGTTTTCATTCCCAGTACCGCACGGTGGCTCTCACCCAGCCCCAGCCCCAGCCCCAGCCGCAGCATACCTCAGGCCTATTCTTACCTCGTTGGGTACCAGGTGTGTATACGGTGGACACAGATACACACATGCAGGCAAAACACTCAAACCACACAAGAAAGGAATCTTAAAATACAACATGTGTGGTGCACACACCTGTAACCCAATGCGTGTACGCAGGGACTGCTGGGACTTGTGGACACCAGCCCTGCCCCAGGCTCTCCAAAGGAACAAGGCAGAGAGGTAGAGCAGTCCGCCCAGTATCCTCCTCTGGCCCCCACCAGGAGACCGAGGCGCGCGCACACTTGTACATACGCACGCACATACTACACTAAAGCTGGGCAAGCAGTAAGATAATTATCCGTTAAAAGGAGGAAAGTGAAAACCAGAGAACCAGGGCCGTGTGGCCTTCGAGGCAGCCAGGAGTGCGAGCTGTTCCACAGAGGAAGAAAGCCAAGGAAGGCTCTGAGTCTCAGACCACAAAGAGCATCGGAACAACTCTGCGAGAACCAAAGGCAGAGACAGAATGCACACGGCTTCCAACCAAGGGCAGTCAAGCCCACAGCCCTGAGGGTCAGCTCAGGCCGTCTTGGGAATTAAACCAGAAATCGCTCCCATCCCATCCGTTCCTCGTTTCCCAGGCACTGGGCAGAGCATTCATTTAGGCTAATCAGCATTTGCAGAATTAACCCCAACCCTCTGCAGTCAAGTTCCTGGACCTGAGGCGTGACTGAGAGGGGCCGTAACTAACGACGCTGAGCCTCACAGCCCTACTGCGTGCCAGCTCAGAGAGCACCCGAGTGGCAAGGAAGCAGGCCTGAAGGGCAGGACGGAAGCAGGCCTGAAGGGCAGGACGGAAGCAGGCCTGAAGGGCAGGACGCGGAACTGACCGGGCAGAACCTCCCTCCGGCATGACAACACTCTCTAGAGGCTGAGGCAGCAACCGTATGGCGGAAGAGCAAACCAAGGGCAGAAATGGATGCACGTGCGAGTGCCACTTATCGACACCCCGTTATCCAGCTGCAAATATCCACGTGAAAATAAAGCTTTGGACTCTAATTCGCTTCCATGTGGTCTCAGTTTATAATCAGTCCCCACTGAATCATTTTCTACTTCCTGTTGTACTGTCTATCATATTTTCAGTCCTACAAATTCAAAACCCAAAAGAGAAACTGGACGTCCATCCAAGGAGGCTGTGAACTTCTAGAGGTGGATCTGACGCCCAATGCCCAGCCACATATATCCACATAAGACCTGAGAAAGCCTTAAAAAAAGGGTTCTAAACACACAAAAATGGAGCCAAACACGGCTTCCTCCTCTTGTGTCTCCCGTGCTGGCCATGGTAGAGAGACATGTCTCCGGCAGCTGTCTGCGTGCCTGAGCTGCCAGTGAGCCATGAACTGAGCCACGTGGCAGGTTTAAGGTTTTGCTCATGCAAACAGAAAAAGTTAAAGATACACAGTGAAGCAGGTTCAGGTGGAAAAAAAACCTCTACACAGGTTACAGTGTGTTTAATAATGTGTGTAGGCTTAAGGGGAAAAAATGGATACAGATAATCATAGAAAAATTAGTTTAAAAATAAGTAAACTCTTTAAAGAGAGAGTGTAAAGTAATAAAAAAAATAAAATAAGCCACATAAGAATGGAAAATACACAGGGAGTCTGGAACCTATATGGTGTCTTGTTAACTCTGAATTTTTTAAATGCTAATGTACAAAAACAATAGCTCCTGAGAGACACTGGATTTTGGAAACTGCTAAATTAAACCAACCTCTATATTTTTAAAATGTCTTAACGGAAGCTGGACAATGTGTTGCATTGGGGGAGGAGGTTATGCTTTTGATGCCATAAGAAACAACAGGCTGTGTATTCCTTCCAGGTTAATAGAGATCAGATTTGACCGGGGGAGACCTCCTGGGTGTCAGCTACAGACATGGGGGAGGAAGCCAAGAAAGACTACAGGACAGGTGACGTGTAAGCTGAGGGAACAGCTCTGGGATGAGATGAGACATGATTAATCTTGTTGGCTACAGAGTCCTGTGACTTATTATTACATACCATCTTTTCATATGGATGGATAGAGATTTATATTACAGTTTGGTTATACAGTTCAAATGGACTTATAAAGCTGACAGATGCCTTTTACCTGCTCAAACATAAAACAGAAAATCATCTTTAACTGACTGGTGCACACTGCACATTCCATACTGTGTTAATGCAGATATGCGTGTTTCCTTTGAAAGTTGATGTGTTTTCAGAGCAGGGGGACCAGACACCAATGAAGGGACAGTGTCAGATATCAAATGAGCTGGCCTCTACTCTGTTGGATATTTATGTAAACCCCAAGTATTTAAATAAATGACTAGCTCAGGCCATGAGCAATATTTGCTGGCCCCACCAACAAAAATGTCACTTGGCTTGCTCACAGCGCACCGACTGAACTCTTTTCTTTATATTGCTAAAGCAGTCACTAAAAGAAACTTTACTTTAGTACTTATTACTAAATAGTTGAACACTTAGTATCTACAGAGTCTTGACAAATGCCTCCTTTATAAAGCACACTGGGAAAGCTTACGTGTGTCTTTCATATCTGAGGGTTTCTCGGATGGACCATGCGACCTGATATGGCGAGGCCTGATCTGAGTCCTCCAGCTCTTCTTCGCTCTCTTCAGACCAGTCCAACCCTGCAGCAGACAGTGGGAATGACAGGTTAGACAAAAAATAATTTACTTGAGATTTGCACTGAGACTGGGGAGACAGCTCATCAATAACAAGGCACTCACTCACTGCCGAGCCTGACTACCTGAGTTCGAGCCCAGGGCCCCACATGGCAGATTAGCACCAACTTCCACAAGTTGTCCTCTGACTGCCACACGTGTGCAGTGACACATATTATCCCTATCAATAAATAAATGTAATCAAATTTAAAAATAATAAAACCCAGACAAAAAAAGCTGTCTAAAGCCTGGCAGTGGTGGTGCACACCTTTAATCCCAGCACTCAGAAGGCCGAGGCAGGCAGATCTCTGTGAGTTCGAGGCCAGCCTGGTCTATAGAGCAAGATTCAGGACAGCCAGGGATATACAAAGACCTTGTCTGGAAAAAACAAACAAACAAACAAACAAACAAACAAACAAACAAACAAACAAAAACGGGCTCTTCTACAGTCTGTAGCTAAGAGGTTTGATGATAAAACTTATCCCAGGAAGGCCTCACACTTCTGGTGGTCCTCCTATGGGCTGGGATTATAGGTGAAAGCTACCATATCTCGCTACTCTATGTGTGTGCATTGTGCGTGCATGTGTGTGTGTGCGCGTGCGTGTGTGTTTGTATGTTTCTGTGTGCACAGGGGCACATGTGTGTGGCTGTGCATGTAGGTACATGATCATTTGTGTGTATATATCAACCTCAGGTCATTTCCTTCAGAACCCACGTGAAGGAAAGAGACAGCTCTCCCTAACTGTGCTCTGACCTCTGCATGTGCTCCGCGGCACCCGTACATGCGAGAGCACAGACACACACCATAAATAAAGGTCTCCGAAACAAGTCACAGTGAGGAGGGGGAGCCTTCACAAGAATATGAACTTTGTGGAAACAGCTCTAGCGATCAGTAAAGGCTTCAATAAAAATGATGAAGAGGCAAAGAAATAAATACAAAATATACTGGTTCATAAAACATAGACAAGTATTCAGCTATATTACTAATACTGTCTGTAAATCCCAGAGTCCCTAAAACTTTCCCAGGAGTTCCAAATGTCAACGCTACTTTCAAACTCTGACTAAGACACTGCTTGCACTTACATGCTTACACACTGCTTGCACTTACACACTCACACCTGCGTGACACTGGGAACAGCGTGAGTGCCATGGTGGCCACTGCTGCTGCCTCACCACGAGTGGGCCTCGGGCTCCTCACAAGGCACCTCTGGGCGCTGGCAAGACCCACAAGTGGCAGGAGCTAGGGAGTTTTACTACAAGGCTCTTACTTGTTACAATGATTCACTCATCACCTCTCAACCCCCAGACTGTCTAGCATGCTGGATGGACGACTAAGCAGGAAACCTCCATGAGGCTCCTCTGCTGTGTGAGCAAAGACTGATGATTGCTTTAGCTGTAACTTGGATAAGCTGCTTTCGTTTCACGGAGTTTAGTTTTAGTTTAGATTATCTTCGTTTTGAGGTACAGTCTCATGTAGCCTGGGCTGGCCATGAACTCACTCTGTAGTAAAAGATGACCAACTCCTGATCCTCCTGTCCCCAGACATTTGCCCTACACAGGTTTAGGCAGTGCTGGGGATCACACCTAGTGTCTCGAGATTACTGGGTGGGCATCTACCGCATGAGCTAGCCCACAGCCCTCAGGATCATTTGTTTTCATTGATGTGTGTGTGTGTGTGTGTGTGTGTGTGTGTGTGTGTGTGTGTGTGTGTGTGTGTGTGAATGAATGATAGAGTGGAGTGCAATGGAAGAAGACACCCTCTGGCTTCCACACTCACATGCACACATGTGCACTCGCATGTATGTGTGCACACATACATACATGGACTACCCACAGAAAGAGGAGAAGGGCTGCTGAGATGGCGCAGAGGTTCAAGACACCTGTTGCACAAGCCGGATGACCCAGTTCCCCTGACCTTCACATCTGCATCACAGCGTGGGCTCTGGTCCCCTTCCCCCACGCCATTCATGCAACTCTATTTTTCATTATATATTTTAAGGAAAAGTTAAAGATGTGATAGTCATGACTTTGCTGTGAAGCTATAAAGTAAGAAACTAGAAATAACTTAAATTCAGCCATGACAAATTATACTATATATGAAAAAACTATTAACTTGAAAATATATTATGAAGATTTTTAAAGAGGTTATAAATAAGTATTTATAACAGGAACTCAATTTAACCTACTTTAAAGAATTTACCAAGGTCCTAACAAATGGGTATTTAATAGATTTGGGGATATCTTGTTATTTTCTACTTACTACAGTGCAGAAGTTTTATTCAGATAATTTAGTATCAGGTGAAATAGTGTAGAGTATAAAAGAAAGCCCACCACTCTCATTTACAATAAAATAAAATCCTCACTCCATTCCATTCCATTCTCCATGGGTCAACGTCAACAGCTTGGTCATGTGTACTCTCCGTCCTCCTCTGGAACAGGCAAACATCTCCCCACACACATAACCAGGGGGTACACTGAGGCCCCAGGCAAACATCTCCCCACACACATAACCAGGGGGTACAC